CTACCGGCTCAGGGGGCGGGGGGTGGGCCGGCGGCGGCCGGCCATGCGGTACCGCAAGGGCAGGGAGGCCGTGCCGTCCGACGACTGCAAGTTCGTCCGGGCCGAGTCCCTGCCGGGGCAAGGGAAGAACCAGGTGGACACCTTCCTGGAGCAGCACGGCGGAGCCGGGATCCAGCACGTCGGGCTCTACGCCGCCGACGTGGTCTCCACGGCTCGGGCCCTGGCGGAGGCCGGCGTGCGGTTCGTCGAGCCCCCCCGGGCCTACTACTGCGAGGCGGGCAAAGAGCGGGAGATCCGGGAGGCTGGGCAGGACCCCCGGCTGCTGGCCCAGCACGGCATCTTGCTGGACGCCGAGCTGGCTGGGGAAGGGGAGGGAGGAGTCAGAGGCTCCAGCCCCGGCCAGAGGAGCTACTTGATGCAAATCTTCACCAAGCCCATCTTCCCGGAGGAGACCTTCTTCCTGGAGCTGATTGAGCGTCGGGGGGCCGCAGGCTTCGGGGAGGGCAACATCCGGGCCCTGTGGCGGTCTGTGCAGGCCTATCTGGGCCAGCAGTAGAGACCCCCCCCAGGCCTGCTGGGGGCTGTGAGCGAGGGTGGCTGGCTGCCCATGGCTCCAGCATGCTCCATCTCCCCCCACGGGGCAGGGAGATGGCAGAGCCAGACCAGCTGTTCGGTTAGAGGGGGAGGTTGGGAGCTACTAAACCCCCCAGGCTCTGGGACATGCTGTCTGCCCTGGCGGGATTCAGGGGGAAGTTCAGTTCTTCCGACTCCAGAGACAAACCCAGGCCCACCCCCAGCCCTGCTCCGCCAACCCTCAGCCCCCAAGCGCTCTCCCACGCTGGCTAATGCTGGGCTCCCGCTCCCATGTCCCCGGGCCAGGAGCTGGGGTTACGGCCCACATTCATCCAGCTCCTTCGGACCCCAGCAGCTTAGGTTTAGGGATCGTGAGCCCAGCACCCCCGGTGCCCACCCTGGGGTGGAGCATGGCAACAAGAGCCACATGGCTGGGCGGGCAGCAGAGTCTATGGCAGGGGTGGGCAATGATTTTTGCCCGGGGGCCACTTAAAAAATGTTTGAAGTAGGCGGGGCCTAAACGGAAAGGGGCAGGGCTACCCCACCCCCAGACCCT